CCTGACTCCCTTTCATTGAGCAATAGGAATGTCAAGTTCATCCACAGTAGGAGTAGGGTTAGGGAGTGGATTTACCTCCTGGGAGTCTAACGGTGTCGGTTGCTCAGTGTTTGGTTGCTCCACATCTCTATCACATCGTTGATCTCTATGGCGTGTACGTTGAAAGACACGAAATGGAGCAAGGTCCGGAATAGAGGGAAGAGATACCTGAACTTGCTTCTCCTCTTCCACACTCTTACTCTCCCCCCGAGGAGAAGCTGGGAAGAATGGCTCAGACTCAAAGAAGGACACATCCATAGACACAAAAAACTTACAACTAACGGGATCAAAGCACCGATACCCTTTTTGAAAGGAGGGATACCCCAGAANAGACTCAAAGAAGGACACATCCATAGACACAAAAAACTTACAACTAACGGGATCAAAGCACCGATACCCTTTTTGAAAGGAGGGATACCCCAGAAAGATAGAAGGAATGGATTGAGGGTCTAACTTACCTCGAGATAGAGACAAATCATGGATAAAGGCACAACAATCAAAAACTCTCATGGGAATGGAAAATAAAGGAGACTGAGGGTACAATAACTGATGAGGGGCCATGTAGTTTAGCACTTTGGAGAGCATGCTATTGATGGCATAAGCAGCTGCAAGTACAACATCCACCCAAAACCTTTTTGGAACATTCATTTGTAGCATCATCCCGCAAGCCACCTCAAGGAGGTGTATGTTTTGTCTCTCTGCAACACCATTTTGTTGTGGTGTTGTGATACATGAGCTCCTATGAATAGATCCGTGGGAGACAAAGAACTCATTGAGCTCCCCATGGAAGTATTCTTTTGCATTGTCAGATTGGAAGATTTGTATTTCAACATGGAACTGTGTAAATACCATCCTCTGGAAGTCTTTCACAATCTTTGAAACTTCGTCTCTACTACGCATAGGAATTACTCATGTATAGCAAGAGTAATCATTCGATCAATGTGATAAAGTACTTATATCCGCCCTTAGAGATTACATTAGTAGGCACTCATACATTAGAATACACAACATGAAAAGTTGTTCTACATTGTTTGCTCAACTGACATGTTTGACACTGGAACTTTGACATTGAACATGACTTAAATAAAACCGGAAACACAAACTTTATTATTTCAAAAGAAACATGACCTAAACGACTATGCCACAAAAAAAATTTGACTCTTATTTGACTGACTATGTGACTCTGAGGATGACATCGAGATACCAACTTTGTTGTCGAGAATGTAGAGACCATCCACTAGGCTCCCTCTACCAATCGTCCTCCTAGAAGTTAGGTCCTGAAAAACACATGAGTCAGCAAAAAAGGTTACACTACAGTTTAAAGAGCTTGTAATACTATTAATTGAAAGCAAATTTATAGGAAGTTGAGGGACATGCAATACACAATTCAGGTTAAGGCCATGGGGAAGAGATATTGATCATTGGCYTGCAATGGAGGAAAAAGAGCCATCTGCAAGTCTCACTCTATCCCTTCCTGACAAAAGGCTATAAGTCTGAAACAAGTTCGATTTACCAGTCATGTGGTTGGAGGCCCCTGAGTCAATGATCCAAGGGGAATCCGTGGAAGTGACATGGAATGCAGAAGCTTTATTACCTGAAGTAGATGCAAATGAAGTAGAGGGAGTACTAGTGACTGAGCTGTCCATTTGTCTCAAAGCCCTACCATAAGATTCCAGGTGTTCTCTGAAGGAATTCATTATATCTTCCTTGGGGTCAAAATTATTAAGGTGGTCCCGGGTACTACCGGCAACCTGAGTATCTTAGGTTGCCACATGTGCTGCATTTTGTGCTGTGTTCATCTTCTTTTGATCTTGACCTTTATCCTGTTCTTGATTCTTCACTGCCCACTTGAGTTTCCCGTGGATGTCCCAACAAGTGTCACGTGTATGCCGTGAACACCAACAGTGGGTACAAAACAACTTATCTTTATCATCAGTTTTCTTAGTGTCACTTTTCTTCCCCGTGGAGTTATTATTCATTGCAGCCAAAGCAACTTGTTGCTCCCCCTCAACTGTAACCATCACACTCCGCTTGCTTTCTTCCGATTGAACAAGGGAGTATACCTCGTGAACCGACGACAACTCTTTGCTTCCTAGGATCTGAACCCTCAACGGTTCATATGCAGGGTTCAGTCCCAACAAGAAGGCAAACACACGTTGCTGAGAGACCAGCTTCTTGTAGGCCTTAGCATCATCATCATGTTTCCACTCTATAGCTTGATAATGATCCAATCCTTTCCATATGGAGGTAAGGGCTGAATAATATGAAGACGATTTGTCTGTTTACAGGTTGAAGATTCAGCTTGTAACTGGTAAACCTTGGCATAATGCCTTTGCTCAGAATAGGTAGCTTTGGTCTGATCCTGGATCTCACTAGCGGTGTCTGCCCACATAAAGTTCTTCTTCACATTAGGTTCCATGGCTGCGAGGAGCCAAGACATCACCATACTGCTTTCTTGGTTCCACCTATCATGTTCAGCTGTCTCACCCTTGGGTTCTTTCACCCTTCCATTTATGTAACCAGCTTTACCCCTTGCCGTTACATAGAGTTTTACGCCTTTAGCCCACTCCAGGTAGTTTAGACCATTTAAATGGGTAATTGGCATGGGAAACATCATGTTTTCACCTCCCATACCAGCTGTGCTACGGGTCGGTGTAACCCCCGATGAAGTTGATTCATAATTTGCCATAGGACACTGCTGAAAACAATCCAAACACCACACAACTACACAACAGCCACAAGCAGAATACCAACCCTCAAGGAATTTACTCTAGGATGTGAAGAAGAGAACAAGACACTGCTGAAATCAACTCTGAGATGGTTCAATCATTAAACCAGCCCGGTAATCAGTCCAACACAGCCAAGGCAGACATTCCTATCAATCCGACTGCAACTCATACAGTCTAACAGTCCAACATCCAAACAAATATATAGAATCAAGGAATAAGCCCTTCACACCATTGGCCAAAAAAGACAAAAACAAGAACACACCTGTCCAGCACTTGTACGAAGGTGCCAACCTGAAATCGACTTCACAACATCGAACAGAGAAGGAAGAGAGAGTCTCTATCAACATCGCCCTTCTCCGACTAGGGTTTCCTTGATATTATGACCAAGGAAAAAACCATAGGAGGTGCCGCTAGTAACTTGCTAGGGTTTCTCTATCTTCCACGTCCAAGAATTTAAAGAAGGAAGAAAAGGCGAAACAGGTTCAAAACAGGAGGGATCAAAGGTCTTTTATAGCAGGTTCAAACATAGGCCCACCCATACCTTGTGCTGAAACTTAATTAATTATAATGGGGTTAATGAGGATCGAACACTAGACCACTTGCCAAAGTTGCTCTGATACCATGTAATCATTCATGGAGAGTGGGAGATGAGAGAGAGAGAGAGAAAGAGAAGAAAAGGGAGATACGATTGAGCGGAAAAGAAAAATCACTACTGGCTGCTGCCAATTCTCTATTTATATTAACTTAATAAAAAGAATAGAAATTACAAGTATGCCCCTAGCGACACACCCTAGAACCAAACTAATAAGAAAAAAAAGAAAAGTAACTAAGTGACAACCTACTAATAGCAACTACAAAGTAACAATTAAATAAGCCTTACAACATATATTAAACAGTTAAATATTTGTAAAAACTCCATCCATGTCAGTTAAACACTATGGCCAGTTGAAGATTCAGTCAGAATTTGAGCAGCATATAAAAAAATATCATTTGAAACATAGATAGTAGTTTTAATTTTATGTTCTAATTTGGGCTCCATATCTGCTATAGAAATAAGATGTGTACAATGGGCTACATAACCCAGTCGTGAGTAAACATGTCAATTGCCGCTTTCCGGTACATCTAATGACTGTGTAGATTGCTAATATGTTTACTCATGGTTTACTTACATAGCCCATTTAACACACCTTGTTTGTAGCAGAAGAAGATCTAGGGTACTTTGAATAAACCCATATTCTGTGATTCAAGCCAGTGTTTTTTAGGTAAAAACTTAAATATAGGACCATATCTCAATTCATACTAAAATTAATTTGAAGTAGTTTAGGGTAAATCCGTTCATTAATTTAAGCCAGGAACTTCTATATAGATGATTAGATGAAATCATGAATGTGGTTAGGGAATTATGATGGAAAACCAAATGAATGGCATTGCAAGTATTTTCACAACACAGTTGAGGATAAACAAGATTTATTTTCATAAAATAAGTATAAACAAGATTTATTTTCACAAATAAGTATAAAAAGGTTTATTTTCACAAAACGTGAAGAGTAGATCCACAAGCAGACAACAACCCTGTTTGGCAAGTCTTTTTGAATGATCTTCTAAGTCCGGTAGACCAAAAATGGTATTTTTCCCGTTTGGCTACTAAAAGCCTGTTAGACCAAAAGATAGGACCTCAAAAAAGACTCTAAAAGCCAAAGTGGTCTAGATTTGAAAAGCTCCAACTGAAACTTATGGTCTATTCGGGCTTCTCAGCTTCCAATACATTTGACAAAAATTGGAAAAGTGGTCAATCGAAACTCCCTTTGTTCTCCATTTTGATCGACAAGAGAAACTCTGCCTCCAGCAACTAGCGACTGAGAAGCACCGATGCAGGTACTAAACGAACTTCTCTTCTTCTTTTTCCTCCTCCTCCTCTTCTTTGGACTTCTCTTTGTACATGGATGGCGTAATTGCTAATTCCGAGAAAATTGCTGTGTCATGTTCGTTTTCTAGTTTCTAGCTGGAATAGTTGCGTATCTACTAGTTATATATTTGGGTCTTTTCCTTTTTCAATTCGATTGATATATTCGCGTGTTTGGTTTGTGTTGGATTGGATTACAAGATTGCTGATGTCTTTTAAGTGTGTCTTGGTTTGCTTCTTGCTGTAATTCACGCATTTCGGGTTTTGTTAGGGTAACTAAATTCTACGTTTTTATTTATGTTGTCTCGTTCTTATTCTGTTTTTGCCATTTAATATCTTTTTGGGGAATAAGAAAATTGTTACTTCATTTATGGAGAAAGAATGATTGACTTCTGATTCCTTTAGCTTTTGTTTTGTTTTGGTTATGTTGTGTCATGTTATGTTATTTGTTGGTCATCAATGGATTAGTGAGAGAAGTCCAACTATGCAAATTTGGCACTTCTCCCATGCAAACTTGGTTTATTAAAGCAGGATATTTCAAATGGTATCACTATGCCAGCGATCGATTAAATGCTTATCTTTGGGGAGAAAAGTACCTTCTACAGCAATTTTTAGACTTTGTATGTGTGAGCTTGAGAGCTGTACTCGAAGTAGAGGAGAGGAGAAGAACACCACTGATATGCTGTGAATGTCGAACTGTACTAGCCAGTCGACCATGCTATTATTTATATTTGAATGTAGTACAATGATACAAGTAATTACTGGAATGCCCCTGATTAGTGATGGGACACCCGGTTAACTTAAAACATTAAACAGGCTTAGGCCCATTAACACAAGCCTAGTTACAGGATAACTTAAACTTAAGTATGGGCTAATAAGAACTCTTATCAATTGAACACTCATACAAAGAGACTTCATTCTAACATTCTAACACT